AATTCAAAAGCCTTTCTAGAACCAAAATGCTTTCCAGTGGTGGACAGAACGGTCTTTGGAATTTCTCAGTCCACAACCTCAAAAGTCTGGAGGAAAATGGGCAGGGGAAAAAATGGTGGACAGATGAGAGAGTAACTTTAAGGACAGCAAAATAACTTGTGTGTTTCTAGCCCAAACATTTTCAAAGATAGGAAAAGGATTTTTTTTTAAGTGTAAAAATAGCATTTTTCAGTCTTCTCCATCCCCCCATCTCCCCAGTTTCCATTAAGCTTTAGTGGAAGTGAATTGATTGTGAAACAATTCTTCAGTAAGTAAGCATAAAATACCACCTGCATATTTTGAAACCTAAGAAATGCTTGAAATCCTAAAAAGACAATGGGTAGAAACATCATTCTGCCTTCTACTTCCTCTGCTTTCTTTTGTTTTCCTTTATACCTACTCTCTAAGAAGCACAAAGCTACAGTGCCTCAACATCTCTGGGTTTTCACCTTAGCTTTGGAAATGTATTGATAGGTCCCCATGTTCCAGAGGGAGGAATGGTTTATTGTGAAGGTGTACATTTGGGTGAGAGAGAACACATGTGACTGAGTGGAAGCCACTGCTTACTCATCATCAGTGGTCCAAGTGTGGATTTCCCAAGACAGCCTTTACTCAAGTTTGCAGACCTTGGGATTTCACAAAGGGTTTTCCAGGGCCTGTTGGTCAAATTGCCTGTGGGCTTGGTAATCTTCCCTTTTCTATTAGCTATGTTAAAAACAAAAACAAAAAGGACAAACCAGAAAAGTTAGTACACTGGCAGATTACTGTAAGAGCTGGAATACTGCTTGAAGAAAAAATGATTTGCAACTACCCTGTAAACATTTAGGAAGCAAAAACATTTGTTAATTACTTTCCCAGAAAAATACATTTGGTCCACCACTGCCACCCTTGATCTTGGTAATTATAATTTTAATTTTGTTCTCATTTAGGCCACCCAAAACCCTTCCCATTCTTCACTCTGCGAGACAATTGTTATGGAAATAAACAGCAGCAGGATGTTATTTGGCCTAATTATACTGAGCCAAAGCTGCCAAATCCCCATCCCAGGCCTTGTATCTTTAAGAATAGAGAGGCCAGAATCCATGCTTCTACTGGAGCTTAGGCTGGAATCACCAAGAGAAATCAGTCCTCCAACAGAAGCAAAGATGAAGGGTGTGCGAACAATTTAGAGCAAACACTGTCTTGATGTTCTGTTTCATGTTTTAAAGACAAAGGTATGGGGTGCCTAGGTGGCTCAGTTGGTTTAGCAGCAGGCCCTTTATCTCAGGGTTGTGAGTTTAAGCCCTGCATTGGGCTCCACTCTGGATTTGGATCCTACTAAAAAAAATGAGGGAGTGGGGCGATAGATCCTGTGCTTGTAGGAATTTTCATCTAAGCCTGTCTTATCTTGGCATTTGGTAATAAGTGTATTCAAATGTTAAATCCTATAGCTACACTTTAGTTTTTTCTACTCTTCATTATAGTTATTAAAGTAATCCAATAGTCAGATAATAGTATCATTATGGTGAATTTTGTAAGTTAAAGTAAGTTTCCTCATGCTTATATCTGTAAGTTAATTGGGCCTTGAATTAATTTATAGAAATTTACTGAAATTGGCTGGCTGATTAAATGAATATTGCATATTTTTCCTGGAAAAATATTTACCCTATTTTCCTACCAGAGGCTAACAGAGAAAAGATTTCCTAAGGAGTGATCAGGGAAACTAAAACTCTTGCTTTTTTCTTTTTTCTTTTTTTTTTTTTCCCCAGAAGAGATGTTAAATGAAATGTCAATTTTTGAGAAGAAACGAAGGGGAAATTCACAAGGTTTACAGTTCTCCATATTATTCATTAATCATGAGAATGTGGACATGTAAACCTAATATTCAATTTCCTCTTCAGTAAACTAAAAATAATAGTATCTGCCTTACCTGCTTCACATTGTTGGTTTGGGGAATTGGCTAAAAAGTATTTTATAAATGATGAAATACAAAATAACATTTGTTTGTTTCTACTTACAAAGGCAAATCCTAGCCAGTTACAAATAGATATTTACTTTCCCTTGGTCAACTCAGTTTGGACAACTCCCACACCCTCTACCCCCCAAAAGAAGGGAATTTGAATGCCTTAATGCACATTCTATGCACACTCCATTTTAGCACTCTTATTGACTTAGTTGAGCTCAACGTACTTGTCTGGAGACACATCTTTATAATCCAGGATAAAATTCACTTTCTTTTCCTATATACCTTTCAAAAAGAAGCCAGTTACATGACATTTTGATTATGTGATATTTTGACTATATTTACCTTTAAATATAAATAAGACATTTTCATGTATATCATTTTGTTCCATCAGACTACCTGTTTCTAATAGCAGCCCAACCCACCATCACAAGGCTACTTTGGGTTCTGGCCAAATGAATTTAATTGTCACAAATTCTCTATGGCAGTCTCAACCAAAACTGTGGCATTTCCACTTTTCCCCAGGCTTCTGCTTATTTCTTTTTAATTCGTATTTTAAACAAAGTGCTAACTTTTCCAGCTTTACCTTATACAATAAGAAAGGCTATTTTGTCTAAAACCTCCTAATGTCTAATTCCCCGCCAGATTACTGATATTAAAAACAATGACAAAATTTCTCATGGGTGTAAGATTTTTATTCCAATTTGATTTGCATTCCAATGGAAATTATAAAATGTATTCACTTCTTTATTTTTAAAATGTGGCTTAAAATTTTTCACGTGAATTATAAAACATGACAAATCTGCAGTTCAAAATTGGGGTAGTTGCAGTAAAAAGTTTTTAAAACAAGTGTTTAAAGCACCATTTTCTACCCACATCAGAGATAACCTTTAATTAGTGATCACCCATGCTGTAAGAACAGGATAACACTGAGACTTGAGTAAACAGAAAAATTGTAGAGCTTTTCCAACCCCAGATCAGGAACCTTTCTATGCCTTCTCATAGTGGCGAACAGCAACCACATCACCAAAAGTAAGAGTCTGAAAGATGCAAAAGATAATCAAATCTTTTTACACAAGAATATCAGCAGCTGAGATTTCTAAAGATTATCATATATATAATTTATGTGTTATGCAAAAGAATAATGTCATTTACAAACATTAAATGCTGCATCAGCTCTTCACTTCTTAAAATAAAAAGAAAAGAAACTTTTTTATTTATGGAGTGAATAACACGTATACATAGTTCATGTCTCTAAAAGGAAAATGAACTGAAACACCGAGATTAACTATGTAGATTCAGGTCAAAAGAATTCCTTTTGCCTTAAATTATCAGGGTAATTGGAGCAAAATAGCTATCTGCTTTGAAAGTGAATCTGTTTTCATAACATAAATTTTGAAGAATTTTTAGAAAATCCAAATAATTTGGACAAATGGTATTTGGAATGACTGGTTTCAAAGTCATCAGGAAAAAGTAAAGTTACAAATGTTCTCATTACTTTGGTCATCATACTTTAGCCGATGTGGACCTAGGTGGCTAGGTGGGTATGATATGGAACATGGGCTTTTATGTCAAATTGACTGGAAGAATTGTTCTAAAATCTCTACAAAACCTAGGGTTTTTTTTTTAATGTTCATTATTTTCATGTGTTGACATGACTTTCAAGAATATAGCATGCCTTCATCATCCATTGTTTTAATATTTTTTGAAATCAGTCTTGACTGATCAGTCATACATGCCAAAGCTGAGCTATCCACTGTCCTGTATCCAGGGGGGAAAATGGAGATAAAAGCATAAAGGAGAATCTCAGATTGGATCTTTTATAAATCAGTCCTTCTTTTCGATGATCAGTGCAGAAATAAGTGGGCAAATATTCGTTCACGTAAAAGGAAAACTGATCCTCTGTTCTCCATCCCATTTCCACCCATGAAAAGAAGTATGAATAATGTAAGCCCTGTGTCTTAATCTAGAACAGCCCTGATAGCAGCAATTATGGAGAAGAGAAAAAAACAACAATTTCCTTAAATCACAAAAACGAGAAACCCCTTTCGTCCACTTAGAAGGAATATGTACAGCAATACCCACCCCCCCAAAAAAACCCAAATGATATATTTATTATTTTAATGTTATCAAAATACCATTACTCAGTTCACAGAATAGTGCCTGGATGTTAGATTAAGGCATTACATTTTCCCCAGGTTATGATGTTACTCCATTATTAGAGAAGTTTTATTTTATTTTATATCTTATAGGTTTTTACATGACTACCAGCATTGAACAGGCATGTTTACAAGACACCTTATGCCTCAAAAGAAAGACTGGAAGGAAGTAACACCAAAATGGTTCCCTCTAAAGAGATACTACACTTTTCTGTTACATCCTAAATTATCTGCACTGAACATATGGAATTTTATAAACTAAAATATAAAGTGCTTAAAGACCTCTTATTTATCACAGTAGCTGTAATTTCTCTGATATTCAGGAAACTTGATATTTTTCTAGTAATATCACTCCTTTTATATATTTCCATGAATATTTTTTAAAGATTTTATTTATTTGTTTGTTTGTTTGTTTGTTTGTTTGTTTTAGAGAGTGAGAAAGAGAGAGAGAGAGCTTGAGCGGGGTGAGGGGGTGGGGGAGGAACAGAGGGAGAGGGAGAGAATCTCCAGCAGACTCCGCACTGAGCAGAGCCCTACATGAGGCTTGATCTCATGACCCTGAGATTATGTCCTGAGTCGTAACCAAAAGTCAGATGCTTAACAGACTGAGCCACACAGATGTCCCCATGAATATTTTTTATATTCAGATTTCATTTGAGGTTTAGACATTCACGGTAATCCTACACATTCTTTTGGCACAGTTGTAGCTAAATCAGTGGCAACTTTTTAAAATACGCTGCATAGAATTTTTCTTTTTTTCTATAATTAAAGAAGCAGAGCTGAGGATACAGTTAGCTAGGACATTTGTATTTCCTCTGTTTTATGCATGGTCAAAGAACCTTGCTGGAGACTTAATGTTATCAACGAAGGGAGGGAGGGAGAAGGAGCTGGGGAACAGGAGTGAGCTGTGCCAAGCTAGAAGGAACCAAGGGAGAATTGCCATTACTTACCATAGCCATTTTGCCATCCTTAATTTCTCTTACAAAATTTGTTTCTTTGCCATCCCATTTCTGTACATGAACAAGTTTGTCCCCATCCAGGCTAACAACAGACTGAGACCGACAACAAAATGCAGAACATAGCAAAGGTTCAGATTAGATTCTCATATAAAAATCAAGTGAAGTGGTTTTTGAAGGAGCTACATAATTGAATAAATGGTGGGCAGCTAATTATCATATTAGTACCATATCCTCTGTTGCTTCTGGAGTCATTATAGAAACTAATAATTCATAATTTGATTGAAATGTGTACATCTAAATGCAAAAACTTCATCTATCAGAAATGAAAATCCTGAACAAGTACTCTCAGACCGGTCACTCTACTCTTTTAAACAAAGCTTTAAGATGAGGCAAACTATTTAGTCAAACTGAGGCAATCAGAGAGATTAAGCAAAATGCAATCTTTATTTTAAATGAACACTGTTACTTTTTGAAATACAGATATGAAAAGAAAAATGTAGAGTAAGAAATAGACTTGAGATTTGAGCTATAGTCAGCACCCACTGTTCAGAACATCATATGTGTGCACTAGAATGCGAAATTAATCCTCACGTCCTCTCTGAATTGAAATACAGAGAACATTCTCTACTTCTCAGCATCTAAAAAAGAGAACCATGCGGACTCTCTCTTTTATTCCCTGCTCCCCACCCCCTTCCAGCGAAGGTGCGGCTCCTTACCTTACAGTTTCTGTCGTCTGCAGTGGTTTCGTCAAACTCTTCTCCCAGATGGAAACTAATCTCTGTGTTCTTAAATGTACTTTGAGTCCTGATCACCACTTTGTCCCCGTCCTGACTGATGATCACTGTTGGTTTAGTCACATTTCCCACCTGCCTAGTGGCAAAGCCCACACCTAAAGAAAGAAGCAATAGTTAGCTGCAACTTCCCAAATAACTCACATAACAAGAATCCACTTTCCTATTCTGGAATCCAGACCCTCAAGTGTAAGTTTCATCAGCCCCCTAATCAGCCAATACAACTACTGAGCTATAATCATATATATGGATGCTTAATTGGATGCACACATGATAAGTGGATGCTGAAGAGAAAACAAAAAGGCACAGAAGCTTCACATTCTTCACAGACTACTAAATGCCCTGTTATTTAGCCCCAGGCAAGAAAGCAGACACATGCCACATTAAAAATCCCTTCTGTGGGAAATGCATAGCCTAGCATTCGATTACGACAATACACTCTGTCTTTGTCACTCACCAATCTCATGGGTGAAGAAAGGAATGGGCGTACTATGGAAGCTGCAGGTTAAGAGGAGAGTAGCACATCTTATTTTTACCTACCTAGAGCCTTCATGTACTCATCAAAGTTCTGGCTGTCCGTCAGCTTCCAGGTAGCACAGAAAGCCTCCACCATCCTTGCCCTTTCTGTTAGCTTTGAAAACAGGTAAGAGACAGGAGGGAGGATCTCTGGATCTTACTGCCAATGCAACTCAGAAGACCCCTTTGCACCTCGCCGCAGCTCCTGCCTTCTTATTTGGAAAAGAGGCAGGCAGAAAGCCAAGGATTTGAATTGCAAACACACCCTTCCAGTGTCCCCCTTTCCAGAAGGCTGTTGCCGGGGGGGAGGGGGGGAGGGGGAGCTCAAGTAAGGTTCCAATCTGCTTTGTGATTGGCTCAGGCCACTGGGTTAGCGGAGTAGGGCAAGTGCCTCCCTAACCTCACTCTGTAGCCTTTCTGCTGAGAAAGCTCTGAAAGGATTCAATGGGGCTGGAGGCAGGGAATGGGGGAAATGAGAGAGGGTCTTTCAGGTTCAGCTCGAAAACTTGGCAAAGGCAATTTCAGACTGTGCGGGAAGAAAAAGATGCACAATAGGACATTCAGATTGATTTCCGTTAATGGCAAAGCTGATTACAAATGAAGACCCCCTTTAAAGAAAACCACTGAAATGTCAGACTTTTCAGACAAAAGAGGCTGAATAGTGTCTTTTATTTTCTCTCATATTTACAGGGAGAGCAAAACACAAGCTACAATATGCCAAACTAGGAGAAGAAGAGGGGGAGGGGGTATAAATGCCTTCCCTAGATTGTACAACTAGAAGGCTACTCCGTCTGAGTTTCAATGGGGCACTAACTAACTTTGGCCTCTTCCCAGCACAAACTGAGTGAATTTAAAGATCCATTGTCCTTTCTAAGAATCTGAGAGCCAGACTGAAATGGAAAAGGGACCTAAGGAAGAGTATGGTTAGGACTCACTAATGAGGTACAAAATAAAAGAATGTTCTTTTTTCTCTCCTTCAACAGATTATAGAATCCATGTGGAAAAATTGAACATAAGATCTTTTAATAAGATTTTGAATACATTATATGTTAAAAAAAAAAAAAAGAAGAAGAAGAAGAAGAAGATAGCAGGAACGGAAAAATGAAGGGGGGGAATCGGAGGGGGAGACGAACCATGAGAGACTATGGACTCTGAGAAACAAACTGAGGGTTCTAGAGGGGAGGGGGGTGGGGGGATGGGTTAGGCTGGTGATGGGTATTAAAGAGGGCATGTACTGAATGGAGCACTGGGTGTTGTATGCAAACAATGAATCGTGGAACACTACATCAAAAACTAATGATGTAATGTATGGTGATTAACATAACATAATAAAATAAAAATATATATATAATATCATAGAACATCCTATATGTCCCAAATCATCAAAATCAAATAATTTTGGCAGTGAGATTACTATCCATATGGCTGAGAAATAAATCATGTTTATTAAAGACTAAAAAAAAAATAAGATTTTGAATGACTTGCACCGTAGGACCTTTTGATTTCCTGAGGCCACATCTATGTAAATACCATCTGTATATAAGTTGGGTGTTAACAATGGGGGTAGGAATTGGAAAAATTGTGAGAATCAGAGGAGCTTTGGCTTTCCTTGTTCTGATTCAGGGTACCCCCCCAAATAGCAAAATACCTCAGGAGTTCTAAGTAGAGTATTTCATGGAGGTCTCAGAAACTCCCTTCCCCAGAGGTTCTTTGTGCTTTACTTAGTATAGACCACAGATGAAAAGCAGGTTCCCTGGCTTTCATGGGGATGGAACAAGGGAAGCTGATTTGGCAATTCCTGCTCTCCTCTATCTGCTAGCATGTAAGCTTCAGCCCGCTGCCTTTTAGCTTCTGCCCGCACTGCAGACGAGACACAGCCTCAGAACATGTCTCATTCCCCTGCCAGCTCCAAGATTCTACTGTGATGTCTCAAAGATACCTCAAAAGTGTTCTTTTAACATAAATTTAATCTTTACCCATACCTGGCCTTTCTCCAGTTTTCACCACGTTTGTAAATGGCACCATAAGCCACCCCACGGCACAAGCCAGAAAATCTGGAATCATTTTTTTTTTTTAAGATTTTATTTATTTATTTGAGAGAGAGAGGATGAGATAGAGTGTGAGAGGAGGGAGGGTCAGAGGGAGAAGCAGACTCCCCACCGAGCAGGGAGCCCGATGCGGGACTCGATCCCAAGACTCCAGGATCATGACCTGAGCCGAAGGCAGTTGCTTAACCAACTGAGCCACCCAGGCGCCCCTGGAATCATTTCTAACACTCTATTCTCTAAAATCAAAATCCATGTCAAGGTCTATCTATTTTGCTTCCTGAATATTTGTCCAATTGTCATCCACCCCTGTCTCTACAACCACCATCTTAATTCAAGCAGCCACTGTCTTTTATGAATCCTTTTGATGTGGGAAACAAAGGCAGAAGAAAAATTATTACATCTCCTTACTACTTCCAGCCCATTGACAAGTCTTTGAAACAGGCAGAGTGACATTCCTCTAGGAGCTCAGCTGCCTCGATGTTAATACTTTGCTAAGGGCAAGAGGCAATCTTAGCTTGAGCCTCAGCATCCTGTAGATCTACTTTAACATATAAAAATTCCTTTGGAAACTTCCTTTTTCTTTACACCCCCAAGATACATGTTGCCAATCATCCTCTAAGCATATGACCCACTGGCATACATCTGAAGAGTCTCATGACTGAGTTTTTACTAAACAGTGATAAATGACCTTTTCTTAAAAATAGCTAGCCCCCTCAGGATCCTGGAGACCTTGTTTCCAAAATGCCAGGAACTGGAGGAACTGTGGGGAATCAGAGAGGCTTTGGCTTTACTTGTTCTGACTCAGGGTACCCCCAAATAGCAAAATACCTCAAGAGTTCTAAGTACAGTATTTAACGGAGGCTCTGAAAGTCCCTAACCCTCTCCCAGCTTGAAGTATATAATGGGCCACTCCTCACAGCCCCAGCACAGCTCTTTGTGCCCACAGGTCCTGTCCCTGTGCTTTAATAAAACCACTTTTTTTTGCACCAAAGATGTCTCAAGAATTCCTTCTTGGCTTCGAACCCTAACATCTTTCCTACATCACTATGGCAACAGCCTCTCAACTGTTCTTCCTTTGGCCATGCCTGATCTCCAGTTCTTTCCCGACACTGGAGCCTGAGTGACCTTTTAAAATACAAATCTGCATCTTCCTAGTGACAAAAGGTGTTGAGACCCTTTTCATGTGCTTCTCTGCTATTTGTATATCTTCTTTGGTGAAGTGACTGTTCAAATCTTCTGTCCATTTTTAATTGGGTTTGGTCTTGCTGCTACTGAATTTCAGAGTCCTCAGTATATTCTAGATACAAGTCATTTGTTTCTTCATTTTCTTCATTTTTTTGATTGTATTAATGGTTTCATTGGTGTGTCAAAATTTATCAGGTATGTACATTAAATATGTGCAGCGGACTCTATGCTGATTATAGCACAGTAAAGCCATTTTTAAAAATCTAAATTTTTTATTATTATGTTCAATTAGCCAGCATATAGTACATCATTAGTTTTTTAACATAATAAATACATAAATACATAAATAAATAAATCTTACCTTGCTCCTCTCCTGCCTAAACGCCTTCATATGACTTCCTCCTGCCCTCACGTTAAAGAACAAAATTTCTAACATTGTATATACCTGGCCTGCCACTAACATTTAAAGGACTCAGGGTAAGAACTCAAAGGGAGGCCGACATGCCATTGTGTCCCAACCATAAAAGTTATGGATCCAACGATGCCCACAGCCTCACCAGCGTCCCAGCTAGAACTCAAAGCCTACCCCTCTACCCTTTCCCGACAGGTCATCCTGTGGCTCCTTGCATTCCTGAGCACTAGCACAGATCTGGTGAGGCGGGCGGGCAGAAACTGATCTGGAATCCCCTAAACCTGGGGTGGGGACTAACCTGGACTTGGTGTTGTGCTGACATGACTAAAGATGCCGGAGGCCACCATGAAAAGCCTGAAATGAAACCAACCCAGTGAAAGCAAAGCGTATATAGTCAGACCCTACTGACATCAATTGAGCCTTTGAACCAAGTCCCTAAAGCTAGCTCCATCTATTACCTTTTCATAAATTCTCTTTTTTGTTAAATCTAGATGATTAATTAATCCATTATGCAAACAGTCCTCTGTGATGGAAGTTCTTAGACCATTTTATTTTGTAACATCAGAATATTCTTATGTTCCATTTAATAAAATATGCTAAAACTGATAGAATGTTTAAGTATTATTCTAAAATATAATAAATCATTTCTTTTTCATTGTCCAAGAATGTAAGATCATTGAAATTGTACATATTCACCTTAGCTCCTTATAGATCATGGTGCTGAAATTATTCACCCATACTCATTTATATCTTCCACTCTCTACATAAGGATGTAAGCTGATGTTATACTAATTTTAACTTAAAACTTATATTCTGTAACTCTGATTCTTTCATACCTCATATAAAACATAAAATCTCAGCAATTTAGAGATAGTCTTTTGGTTGTATATTAATATAGTGTGAAGTGGAAGAGAATTTTGTTATACACATGTCTATAGTAGAAATTTAAGGAAAAGCCACTTGACGATTTTATAATTCTCTAAACTGACGCTTTAACCTTACTGTTTTTAATTATTTAAGATGTATTAGTTTATACCTAAGAATGTTTGCCTTCAAATAATAGGCTATTTTTCTCTGTTATTGAAGATTGTACTAGAAGAGAAAGTGAAAGATTAGCGAAGAGACTGTGTTGTGCTAAGCATGATTCAACTAATAGATATTTTTTCCAATTTTCCTACACCTGAGAGCAGTTTATGATTTTGCTATGGCTTTTATAACACGAATGCATCCACAGGCTTTAGAAAGGAAATACTGTGACAGATTGACCACTCTTTCATGGCTATTTCCTTTATGTATTAACTAATGACAATAAATGAAATAAAGATTTTTTTTAATAGTGAAATTAAAGGAACAAAGAAAGAAAAGTTGCTTTGGGAGATCTTGGCAAAATCTCCACGTGGAGTTGAATCTCCTGGCACCTGCTTTATGGTATTTTTTTCTTCTTAAGAAAGCAAAGTATTAATTTTCAACGCTGTTCTTGAGCAAAGTAAGCCAACCATGCATGCATAGCTTGAATTG